CATTCTAGACAGAAATAAATGGCCTTTTTAGAAAGTGAACCATGGATGGGGAAATGTTGGCAGTTTTCTCAAAAAGGCTTGAATTCAAGAAGTTTGAACAGAAGCATATAATCAATATTTGGAGAACTCGTCACCATCATCGCTCTGAAAATTTTCCCGTTTTAGACCAAATAGTTTCAAGAAATAGTACGCGCAAAAGCAATATGTTAGATGTTCAAATTCCGTCATCGGCCATGAGTTATAACGCATTAACCAATGAGTTAAAACTGAATAACTCAGAGAACGGCAACGCCTCAAAAGCGCAACTCAACACATACATACATTTACGTCCATTTGAAGGCTCCTACCAGGACTGGCTGGGCAACGAGTCTCATTGATTGGTGGCATGTTTCACTCGCGACTGTTGCTTTACCACTGAAGAGCAAAACTAGGCCCTGCAGACCCCAAATCGCTTGACCCACAAAATGGATATTTTCCCTTAATGCTCGCGTCGCAACTTCCACGAACTAATTGTTCAAATCACGACAACTTCAGCCTTGGTCTTGATAGGCATCTTATTTAATATTGACGCTCGACTTAATAAAGGTCAGGGTAGGATGGTGGAGGTGCAAAAATAACCCCGAAGGCTGATGTTGATTTATGGGAAAAACCGGAACGTTGCCTGGAAAATTGCAAACGACCGCGGCTTTTAATGTCCGGTGCACGTTTCGAGTTCAAAATCGTTAAAATCCTGGTGTTTTTTGCTTCGAGCGTGACAAGGCAAAGACTGTCGCCAGAACAATACCTTGCACATATCGGCATTATCATTCAAAGCTGCCAGATGCAGCGGCGTTCGGCCATCGTTGTTCTTCGCATTGACCTGACTGGGCCTCATGTTCAGCAGCCAGGAAACCAGCTCCCGCCTGCCCGACGCTGCCGCATCGTGCAACGGAAAATCGCCCCTGGAAAACAGGAAAAATCCCCTAAAAACCGCCCAGTGTCTTAACCTGGCAACACTCACCTAGCATTGCGCATCCACAGGTTAGCGCCTCGCGCCGCAATCAGCTTCACGGTCTCAAACTGGCCTTTTGCGCACCCACAGTGGGCCGGGCTGCGCCCCTTGCGGTCCTGCCGGTTCAAATCTGCGCCGTGCGCCAGCAGGAGCGCCGTCGCATCTGCGTGGCCTGGAAAACCTCTTGTTGCAACTGCAGCACCTTTCTATCAAAGCCACTTACCTAAAGTGACCGCATAGTGGAGGGCGGTGCATCCATTGGTGTCGATCGTATCAGGAGAGGCCCCGCAAAGGGTCAGCAGGGTGTCCAAGCAGTCGGTGTGCCCTCTGGAAGCTGCGCAGTGCAGCGCAGTCAGCCCGTCCCTGCAAAGTAGGCAAACCATGCAACTCCTGGTATGTTGAGGATTTGCCTCAAAACCTATCAGATGATTCCACGGTGGCGCCAGCTCGCACTAGAGCCAGCAGGGCCTTGGCCGAGCCGGCACTGGCCGCCCATAAGAGCGGCTGCCTTCGGTCCCCATCCTCCACTGAGACATTGACCTCCTTCTGAGCCAGCAGGGCGTTCAGCACTTGCAGTCCCAGCTCAGAGTCTTTCGCCTGGGGAAGTTGGGGATTAGGTTTCCCCCAGTTTGGGTCGAGTTGGTTGTTGGTCTTACCCCTCCGCACATCTGGGCGGCGTAATGCAGTGGGTACCCCCCATGAACATCTGGAGTGGATGCGGGGGCTCCGGCTGCTAAAACAGCCCGCAGAGCGCTGGTTTCCCCACATACTGTGGAGAAAGAGCCCTTGACTGGTTGAAGACATTGATACTGATCAAGAGGACAAAAAACTGGACGAATTTGATTAAGAGGGAGAATGGAAGCTCATAGTGTGGGAAGCGTTACCACCGAAATAATGAAGGCCGGCTGGCTGAATTGTGACGTCACCTAAAGTAGGCCGGCCCGGCGTAACGTAGGCCTGGGTAACACTGTGTTGAGTGGCGCTTTTGAGTTGTTGCCGCTCTCCGAGTTAATGACTCATTGCTTAATGAGTTATAACTCATGGCCGATGACGGAATTTAACATCTAACAAAAAAGCCATCAACATATTGCTTTTGCGCCTACGATTGCTTGAAACTATTTGGTCTAAACCGAGAAAATACGGAAATTTTGAAGAAACTTTAAAAAATTTCAGAGCGGTAAGACTTTTCTTGTAAAATTCTTCTTTTAACTTTTTTGCATAAAAAACTCTCAGTTTGCCACTGTTTTACAGTAAAACGTTAGGAAAAAACGCGTTAGGAAAAAACGCGTGCGACAAAAGTGACGAGTTTTTCTGATAATTGATTTTAAACATTTACTTGCTGTGTTCGGCGAAATTTTTTTTGGGAAAAAATCTAGAAAAAATTATTAGGGTTTCGTCCAAAATTTGAAGCTGCGAAAGGTTCCAGAAAAAAATTTGCAAAACTGTTCAGGAGACGAGTGTTTCATTAAAATGTATTTTATACTTTTCACACAAAATACCTGAAGATTGTCAGTATTTTAAGTAAAAATGATACGTTTTTTACGTAGAAAGAATTGCTTAATAGAAACTTTGCGAAAACTGGAATGGCCTGAAATTTAAAAAAAACTTGAAAAATATTCAGAGCGATGAGGATGGCGAATTTTCTAAATAAATTTTTGGAAACTTTTGCTCTGGCTGTTTTTTCAAGATAATCTTAATTGCTTTCGGTAAAAACTGAATAACATTATTTGGTTTTTGTGCCAAATTTAAAGCTGAAATAACTTTTCAAAAAGTTCCCAGCAAACCGATGAATGAGGCAATTTTTTTGTTTGAAAAGACCCCATTATTGTCAGAAAAGAAGAAAGTCATCATAAAAAATTCGAAAGAGTCCAAAAGAAGACCAAACTGTAAGGACGACGACTTTTCTTGTAAATCCATCTTTTAACTTTTTTGCATAAAATATTCTCCGTTTGCCAGTATTTTACAGTAAAACGTTCAAAAAAATGCGTTGTTCTGTTTAGAGAAAATTTTGTTTACAAATATTGACCTGAAAGTGAAGAAACCGGAATTTAAAT